CAACCACACAGCAAAAATTCCTGACACATGAACAATTTCCGCAAAATGTAAATGCCAAAGAATCGAAAGTATTTATGTAGCTGGGCTGTCTGCCGATGTTGTCTGACGGGCTGACTGAGGTCAGGCGAGGGGTTCAACAGCTGATGGGCACATTTCTTGTTGTATTTATTGTATCTTACAGATGCAAAACACTCGAACACACACACACACTAACACGGAGAGAGAAACACGAATGTGAAGCGGTAACCGGAGCACTGCGCTATGTTCTTCTGTGTTGTGACGTTGACAAAGTCCGTACATCAACTAAACTACAATTAAATTCAGATGCGCTCAGGGCACATTTGCCATAGGTACACAAGGTACACACACGCTTACACAGATAGATGTGAGTATGCCTGTGTGTGTATGTTTAGATTGTATGTTTGTGTATAGGGGCAGGCGGCACCCCTTCGGACTATGGTCAGGCAAATAGAACGGTCGAGCAGTGCAGAGAATCAGAGAGAGCGCAAGAGAGCGTAAGTGAGTGAGTGCGTGAGAGAGAGGGGGTATCGGTCAAGCTACTCACGCATATGCGTAGCTGTAAATGTTTTGTTGTCGCCTGCATCTCGTTATCCATTCTTCGGTAGGTAGATCCCGATCGCGATTCCGATCCCTAAACTCGATTCAGATTTTTGAGCATGTCGCTTCATGCATGTCGTCGTCGAGAGCAGGTAAGCCCATATGCCTATAGCAGGTACAACAACGAACTATGGTCGAGGGATAGCGGGTAGCGTGCAGTGACATCAATGCCAGGGCTACCGTAGCACATAATTGAAGATAGAAGAAAAACTGTTATATTGAACAGCTGAGCTAATCTCGAATAAAACTATTGCAATTGCATTCGTTATTAGCCGCGCACTCTCTCTCTCAACGATCTTAGCGCACTAAAAGCTCTCTCTCTATCTCGAAGCTTTGAAGCTCGTGAGCGTAATTGCATCTATCATCTCAGTTGGTGGCCAGCCCTTAGGATTTGTGCAGACATCGCCGCATCTCTCCCTCTTTCTCATTCTCTGCAGCCCACGTCGTAATCCAAAAATCGAACTGCTTAAACACACACAAACAACAATAACAATGAAAAAGATAGCTGAAACAGCTAAAAGGCTAAAATTAGCAGACAAATGCGAGTGCTCGAGAGTCTCAGACGCCGGCTAAATAAAATCGCCGAAAGCACAAAAGCACATAACAAAGAGTGAACAACAACAACTGAACGTCAGCTGTGGAGAGCTGCATAGGCGACAACAGCAACAATATCTCTCTCCATGTTAGAATTTCAAGGTTAATTTCTGTTTAGGGTGCTGTGTACACTGCTTGCAAGCAGTCGAAAGCTTATTGTGACAATAACGCGCCAAAAAAATGATTTCGTTTTCAATTTGAATTAGTTATGGTTAAAATCAGAATGGGAATGGAATTTTTTCGGACATCTAGTCCTATGACGTCAGAAGAGCAAACACAGCTACTGACGTAGGCGGCTCTTTTTCCAACTCCACCAAAAATAGCACATGACCCTGAATTTGTTATCAGACTGTTTACTATCTCTGATAATTTCACTTTCCCCAAACACCTTGTTTCTACAGGTGCAATAATCGAGGTGTATTACACAAGCTTAAGCTAAAGCATACTATAGAAAAGTATTCGATGGATTTTTTATAAAATAAAAATGTACAAATTTTAAGAATTCAGTAAGAAAATCGAACAATAATATTGAAAAGTAAAAAATTTGAACTTAATTAACGATAAAATAAATCTGTATTTTGATAATTGCAATAAAGAATATTACTTTAGGGTATTAAAATGCTATCATTCTCATAAAGAACCCTATTCAATCGTCTGTATTTACTTTACTTATCAATTATCAACAAAAAATCGAATCGCACATAAATGCAAATTGTTCTATACTATATATTTTTTGCCACAGCAAAAAGTAGCCAAGCGAAATTTGCGATGATCTAATATCTTGGTTATTCGCTTGGCAGGAAACAAGTGGTATATATCTATTTATGTGCATAGATAAATATATGGGGATACGTAGTTGGCTCCGGTTTTGACTGCACGTAAGCATTATTTTTCTATTCTATTTCTAACCGGTAACAAATAACAAAATAAATAACAAAAGCCGGCCGGCATTAAAACGGGTGAAAGGCAGCTAAAATAGAAGCCAGACGACTATCAACTTAAAGCTACCTTAGTGTGGGTATTTAAAATGCTGTCACGACCAAAATTGGACTAAACCGAAAGAAATTTCTAGACATGAATCAGAGAATTTTGTCTGCCACAATGTAGCAAGAGTGTTGAGGAATTGAATATTATTTGATTGACATTTGTGACCCACCTAAACTTATTTAATGAATATTGCTCAGATTGATGCTTGTCACTCTAATTACTGAGAGAATGGGTGAATTATATAAGTACATGTACCACAAAGAGTTTCTGGGTTTTTTTCAAAGAAATTTTATGTTTTTATTCTAAGAAAATGCTGAAAATGTCAAAAATATCTGTGGCAAAGCAATGGCATAAACTTGTTCTATTTAAAAACGTCACTGGTGAAATTCACAGCTTAATTTTTACAACGATTTTTCTTAGTTTATATCAGACAAATTTTATTCCTATTATTCTGTTATAATTCTATACATTTATTAAATATCTGTAAAGAACTTTTTCCACTTATAAGCTTCAATTTTGCACTTCACATTCAGACTTAAGGCTTAATTTTTACAGTTGAACGAATATTGTCTAGTCTCGCCGCCTCGTTGGCTTTCAGTGTTTATGGCTAAGAGCTGGCCGGCTATTTGTTGGTAACTTAAGAATTAAGTATGGGTTGAGTGGCTGACTGGCTGACTCATTGCAGACTGGAGACTGCCACAGAGAGGCGACTGTCGAGTGCTCAGCACAGTGGGCAGCAGTCCGGGATGCCTGACGGTGTCTGGGCGTAAATGGAGGGTCGACTGACTACTTTTAATTGCTGTTGAGTGCCCGGTAACCGAAATTGGGCATAAAAACTAAAATCGAGAAATTGCTTTTACGTGCCAAGCGAGTGGCAACAAAGCAGCCTCAAGTATTAGAGACGGTGGGAGAATAGTTAATTGTAAGCCGAAATAGTTTTTATGAGCAATAATTGGCAGCTGTTGTTAATCGAGTCTTCATTGGATTATTACTATTAGTGAATTTAAGCAAGCAGTTAAATTTTAAATTTAGCAAGCAGTTGACTTCACTTTTTATTTATCTATTTGCTGTGATCATGAGTCATTTTATTGCTCGATTAATGTGTGGAATATTGATATGTTGTCCGATTCTAGAACTTCCAATTGAATCTATATACATTTTATAAAGGAATGCCGAGTTTTGATCATTGCAAATTAAAACAACAGTTGATATAAATCTGAATCGCATTGTGGAATGCTCCAATCAAACACAAACTGATTAAGTTTGTGCGTATTGTGTATGTATGTGCTTAGGCTTGTCTATGTATGTGTGTAAGTATTTACTGTAACAGTTGGGTGCAAAGCTCAAGCGACGTTAGTCAGTCAGTCAAATGACGATGTTGATGATGCCAATGATGATAATCATAGACGTTGTTGTATTATTCTTTCATAAGCTGATGAAATAAGCTTAGCCAACAACTGTTATATGCACAACTGTTATATATATATATGCATACATATTTAGTAGTAGTGCATGCCTCGGCTTACGTCTATTGCATGCGAGCCTCGTGCGAAAGGGGCTGCTGCTAGTCACGTCTCCACCCACCCCTCACCTGTCGCGACGCTCCTTCCACACTTTAGCCCATATTAGTTTGCATTTTGGCGAGCAAACCGAGTGAAAAGTTTTCTTTTATATAAATGTGCATATATATTTATATATACATATATATATGAAAACGCTTTAGCATGCGATCCGGTTACGGTTTTATTTAACGCTCCACTGCCACAAACGCGACAAGGAGCGGGGCGTGTGGGGTTGTGTTGCGAAGGTAACTGAACTGCATTTATGGCGTCCTACTGATTGGGGAGGGGGCGTGGCACAATAAAAGTCCACTTCGCTTTGACCATAATTAACGGTGCACTTTTGACTCCGCTTCATTTTAAGCGCTCGACGAGTTTTGTTCTGTTTTCTGCTGTTGCCTTTTAGGCGTTGTCCGTTGTCCGTTGTCCGGTCAACTTTGGAAAAGGGGAGGCGGTATAAAGAAAAAAGCAAATAAAAAAAATCAATGGGCAAAAGCGGCGAAATCAACAAAATAGGAAAAGATGAAACAAAAAAGCAGTTGTGATCGACTAGCAAATACCCTATGGGCTGGGCCTTTCCATTTACTCATATACATTTATACATTTATATTTATTAATATCTCTACGGATTGATAATAGATTCGACTAAAAAAGGGTATCATAAATGGAAACTCTTTAACTTATTTTATTTATGGAAATAGAGATCGATTTAGCTTTTTATCCATTTTTTCTAAATACTAAATAGGGTATGTGAATAAGAAACGCCACTCAGTATGCAATATGAATGGCTACACGAGAGTAATCTGCTTGAGCATATATTCAGGGTTGTATAAAGCTCAATTACAATAGACACACACACACACACACACCACACACAAACAACAATCGCATATGTCGAGAGCAAGTGCATGGCAACAACAACAACAATAACAGAAACAATAAAAAATAATAACAAGAAAATAAGTAAAACATGGCATACTTTTAGGCTGTAGGGGGAGGGGATGGGCTTAAAGAGGAAGGGTTGGTTTTATGCGGGCGCAACAATGACATCATTATTATGGACAGCAGTATTTGTTGTTTGTCTCTGCTTTATGTGTTTTTCCGCATAACGCATAATCGACAGCTTTCTAATTTGCTTGTACAGTTGTGCAAGCACAGTTTGCGCACAGTTTGTGAGCCACTGGGATCACACAGAAAGACACAAAAACACCCATATGCAGAGAGACACACACATACACTTACCTTGCGGGTGCAAACGTTCGGGCTTGAACCAGGCATCTGCAAATAGGCGATTGATATATTGATTTTCGTTAGTTTAGCATTAAGTTTTGTGTTGTGCAAGGCAGATATAAAAGAGAGAGATATAGACAACGAGAGAGAGACAGATAGAGAGAGAGAGGGGTGCATTAGGCGGTGTCTCATGTCAAACTAAAGCGAGCATCTAGGCGCAAAGCCAAAAAAATAACAAATAAAATCAATTTTACAAAAAACATATTTTTTACAATTAAAGCTAAAAGCAAAAGGATATTATTTATAACTATAGCTAAAATTCCAGCATGATTGACAAAGGTTAGTTTTGCTTCAGCGTTTACAAGCATGTTAAATGTTAAATGTATGTATGTATATATGTATAGTATATTGTATGTATGTACATATGTATGTATGTATGAGTGCAACACTTACTGGGATCCAAAATGGAGCAAATCAATGGGCGCTGCTTACAGACGCCATTTTGTCCGGCTTCGCCAATTGTACACATTTTGTTAGTTTCACACAAGTTTGCAAAACACTTGATTTAGTATTAATTAAACGGTAGCTTTTCTATTCTTTTTTTCTTTGCCGTTCCAATTATTTTTTTCTGTATATTTTTTTGGAGTAGGCAACAAACAAAAGCACAGCGCAGTTAGAGGGAGAGAGAGAGAGAATGCGAGAGAGCGAGCGCAACGCAATTAGGTATATTACGACGTAACGTTAAAAGCAAATTTTTGTTCGCAATTGCGTAGAAGAATTCACTGCCGTCCGATAGGCACACGACGCGTACTGAGACTGAGCGTAGGCTGAAAGCTTTCAAGCCTGTCACGAATTCAAAAGGACTAGTTCCATAGCCGAACGAAAGCGACGGCGTCGAGAGAGAACGTAAGCCAGAGAGAGAGAGAGAGAGAGAGCGCGAGTACAAATTAGTAAAATCGATAAGGCGACCTGCTGTGCGTTGGGTTGAGCAACCGCGCTTAGCCCTGAACTCGCAATAGAAAAAGCTCAAGCTCAGTGCTCACAAAAAGTGAGTACAATTTATCGATTTGTAATCGCTGCTGTTTAGCTACTGCAGTTGACCAGCTTTGAAGGGTGTAGAGATTTGCCTAAGGCAATTCTGTCCAAGACAAGACAGATTTAGTTGAAAACTGAATTAAACTTGCATATATACAAATTAATATTATTGTGAAAACAAAACAAAAAAAAAACATTCCACATTTTGTAATTTTGTGCTAAATTCACACGTTCAAAAAAGCCAGATTAGAAGGTGGAAAAAAAGCTTAATTTGCATCACTGGCTTTCGCTGAATCGCATGCGCTGCTTCTCCATGAATTGAAGGAGGGTGCTGCTTAAGGGTTAAGGCAGGTGGCCCGGAAATTACCAGACGGCGGCTTTCTTTTTTTGGGTGCGGTGTTTATTGCAGCTCGCCTGCAATGACTACAGCTGTAACCAACCCCCTCCCTTTAATGGGGTGTGAAACTTGCGAGTTTTGAGCTGGTTTGCCTGTCTGTCTTTCTGTCTATCGGTCGGTGTTGTTTACACCTTGGGAAGGAAGATAGGAAATAAATCAAGCTGACAGCGACAGAGAGCATCTGTGTCTAGCTCTTAGCTGGGATACTCATATAAATATACATATATATATATATATATATAATATATATATATATTATGGATTTTCTTTTATGTTTTTATAATGCACATTTTATTCTCTGACAAATTTGACAAACTTTGGCTTAGTTTCTCAATTACCAAATCGATTCGAGAGCATCGCGAAGAGGTAAGAGAAGAAGCAAAAGAAGAAGAAGAAGCAGAAGCACATGGCATATATCATGTGACAAACACAAGACTGCAAACAAAATGTGAAAAGTTTTACAAATCGAGCAGACCTAAAAAAAAAAGAGGTTAAATCACAATTAAGCTAATAACTTTTAAAATACTTTTCCTATTTCACCCAAGTCACTATTATATAAGAAGTTAAATGGTATTGCAATTTTGTTGCCATAACTTTGTTCTACATTTCACTTCTCCGTTTCGACCTATTTGTGTCAACTGAATTTCATATTTTGATGCGATACATTTGGATACATTTTTGTTAGTTTGTTTTTATTTGGCATACAAATAAACAATTTAGCTTCATAAACATCTAGTTTTATGACGTCCATTAAATATGCTAAGCAAGAACAAAGAAAATTCTTTCTAAAATATATACAAATATATTATTTAACGATATGATATTTTTTCTTAAGTTTTTACTCAGATTTCTGAAGTCATTCGCAAAAAAAAATTTTCTTTCTTTTACATTTTTACAATTGAATTTTTGTTGAGTGTACCTACAAGCAAATTGATGTTTATAAAGGTTTGTGCTTGTAATAAAAACAAATGAAAATACAAATTTAAATATAGCCCAAAAGCTGTCTTCGATCAGCGTCAGCGATCCAAAACAATATCGATCACGCCTGCCTGGCTGGGGAGCACTTGAAAAAAAATTAAACGCACACAGACAATCTAAAATTATATTATGCACACTTTGTTTACCGCCGGGTCGCGTTTCGCGGCGCTTTCACAATTCTCGTTACGCCTTGTAAGTAAGTGCACTAGTTTTTTTTTTTTTTTTTTTTGTTGCTCAACACTTTTTAGACATGCATACAATTCAAGCTAACAATGTGCATATAAACTTATGTACAAGTGTTTAACTTTTTGCAGCGATTACATACACAGTCTATTTATAAGGACTTAATTGCTTTTGTGATAGAGAGCAAATAAGAGAAATTAACAGTTACAAAAGACAGGCGATAAATGTAAAGCAAAGTCGCCGATAAGTGCAAGCTTAACATGTGCTAAGCACACCGACTAACTAACCGAAAGACAGACAGAGACAGAGGCAAAGCGAATAGAAGGGGGAAGCCAAAAGAAAGGCTTAACAGTGCAGATAAACGATACTCACACACACACAAACACACAGTCACACATCTATGAGATGCAAAGACAATGTGCACTGAGCAACTGGTACAGAGAAATGAGTATCGTTATCGAAAATGCGCCCTCAGCTGGGTCGATGACAAGTGCCAAGCAGCAGTAGCAGCCGCAATCAAAGTCAATGCCAATTGGAAAACGAAGAAGAGGAAGTGAAGAAGATAGACAGTCAGACGACAAGCGGACAGACAGACTCAAATACTTAGCATGTACTTGCCATAAAAATAGCACGGCAAATAAAGACAAAGGCAATGCAGAGGAAAAAAGATTACTAATTGGAAAATTTTGCCAGCATGCGATGAAAATAAAGGCGCAGATTGTAAAACAAAAAAACTAAAAATGTTACACTCGCTGCATCACCGACCGCTCAATACACTGCTTCCAGTGTAACTTAACAGCGTAAAATGCATAACTATAAAACTTTTTTGTGATTTTACAATGTCTATGTCATAACATAATATACTGCTTTTACGCATTGAAAACAGTGTAGAACGAAAATGATATTAAAATGAATTTGCGCAGTGAAGCGGGCCCCTAAACTAGATAATTGGATTATGCAGGCAAAGGCTTAAATTAAAGAGCACTAGAAAGAGTCAATATCACGGACCTCTCCCCTCTCTCTCTTTTCTCTCTCTCACTCCCTCTTTATTTCTCCATGTGTGTGTGATATAATTGCTTGCTAAAATGTAGTCCAGCAACTAAAACAGAATCAAATATAAATGCGAAATGTGAAATATGAATTATGAGCAAACGAGACGTAAGCAGCAGAAGCGAGAGCAGAAATGCTGCTGATTCATGCACGCCAAATGCGAATGGATGAATAACAAATTAGAAACTAAAAAATGTGCCGTCTCATGCAATTCAAATGCAGCATTAAATCAGTTCTACTATTGACTAATTGTGCAGACGTGACTCAAACGATGATGAGCAATCGTTATCGATAACAATTGCCGATCAGTTGCACTCCAAAGCTTTTGACCAAGAGAGGGCGACGTCGTCGTCAAACAGAGAGAGGGAGTGAGAGAGGCTGCATGTAAATTTCCAGCTGTGTCGCAAAATGTTTTGGGCAAGTGAAATACTATACGCGAAAAATGATAAATTTATATATATTTTGCGATAATTGCGTACATACAAAGTTAGATATAAACAGCGCAAGACTTGATGCCGACATCATGATGACATCATGAGCGGCAAACGACAAGCCAACGCCACAAGCCGTAAAGCAAAAGGCACGCACAACACCTAAAAGAGAGCGAGCAAGCAGATTGTTTACTGCTCTCAAAAAAATGAAAAAAAAAACCGAAATGCAAAAAAAAAGTGACTAATTAACAAACAAACTAAGTAACAACTCAGAGCAGAGGCAGCCAAAGGTGTGGTCGCGAGGATAATACACAAACACAAAATGCATGTACAAATAATATTATCAATAAGACCAAAAACGATGACTAATTATTGCCAGGCAGTAACTAATTGGCAACAAAAATATGATAATAACGAAACAAATACAGTTTGATATAGATACCCCTGCAGCAGCAGCGATTGCACTCATATTAATTAGAATAATAACCGGCTTTTCCCGGGGCACGTTTTGCCTTTGACATTTTTCGCATTGATTCCCTACGTGTTCTTCAATTTATCACGTAATATTATAAATAATAAAAAAAAAAACGAATTCATTTTTCAGCAATTTCTTTTGTATTGATTTTAATTTATCGGAAAAGGCCTGACATTAAGTTGAATTTATTTAATTTTATCAATTAGAATTTACTACATTTTAGCATTTCTAAATAAAATGTTATTCATAATACTTATTAGTGTAAGTATTATTTAAATTTATTCAGTACTTTTTTATTGCTGCAAGGGCATTAAAAAGTCGGCTTGCCGAGTTTGAATTTACGGTTAATTCTTGGAGGCACTTACCAAGTCCGTACTTGTAGAAGATCTCCTCAACTGACACAATCTTTGGTTGCTGTTGCTGCTGTTGTTGTTGCTGTTTTGGTGGTTGCGTCTTGGCCTTTGGCGGCTCCACTTTGGCAACGGGCTTCGGTGGCTCCACTTTGGCAGCGGGCTTCGGTGGCTCCACTTTGGGCTGAGGTTTCACCTCAAACTCCTCATCATCCAGATCGGTTACAATAGCCTTAGGCGGTGCCGGAGCCGGCGCCGGAACTGAAACTGGAGTTGGAGCCAGTGCTGGAGCGTGTGCTGGGACAGCTGGTGGCGTATCCTTAAAGTCACTCGCCAGATCCTCGGAAGAAATGAATTTCTCATTGTCTTGCTCCTTAAGCGCGGCCGTAATCGGTTTCTTTGCCGGCGACGGCGTATACGAAACGGATGGCGAATCTGTATCCGAATCCTTGTTGCCCGTTGCGGCAAAAGTGGCGACAACGGGTGCAGCATTTAAACTTGGCTTGCCAAAGAACTCATCATCATCATCATCGTCATAGAAATTGGCTGGCGCTGTGGGCTGAAATGGTTGCAGTGGAACAGACATTGGTTTGCTGAAGCTGCCCATTAAATCCACCTCTGGCTCCGGCTCCACGTGCTTGGGTGCAGCCACTGAAGTGGGTAAAGGAGCAACCACGGGTGCTGCAACGGGTTTAGCCGCGGGTGCTGCAATGGGTGCTGCAACGGGTGCTGCAACTGGGGGTGCAACGGGGGGTGCAACGAGAGGTGCAACGGGAGGTGCAGGAGCTACAGCTGGAGCTTTGGGTGCATCCCCATAAACATTTCGCTCCACATTCATAAAATCACTGGTCATCCTGCCAATGTCCTGTTTAACGGCACTGCCCGTGTCCTTGAAGAAATCTGCAAAATCATCCGTTTTCTGGGCAAATTTCGCATCCAGTTGCTCCTGTGCCTCCTTGGCGCCAGCAGACATGCGTTGCACAAAAGCCTGCGGATCTCCGAAATCCACATTTTTTTGCTCATTGGCAAAATAACGCTCGGTGTGCGCATTATCGTCCTGCGCTCCGCTGCTGACGTTGGCAGCGCTGCCGCTGCTACTGCCGCTAACACCGCCGTCACCGCCGCTTAGGTCACCCAATAAATCATCGTAGGTATTGGTTACCTTCTTGCTGGCGCTATTGAAAATATCCTCAGCTGTGGAGGCGGCCTCCTTTTTCAGATCAGCGAAATTTAGATCCATTGTGCAAATTAATATTTCCACTGCAGCTGTCGTCTGTTGGTGCTGTTGTTGTTATATCCCTTTTCTGATTGGATTAGCTACGCGCTCTCGCACACCAACTCACTCGCTCACACTCACGCACACACAATTGTGCACATATACACACGGACGAAGGAACAGTCAAAAAACGCGACCGGCTGGCCTTTGTTGCTTATGATTTTGTTTTATTTTAATAGTAGTTTAAAATATGTGAAAATGTTCGTTTTGCAAACGTTGGCCGTTATACTTGAATTTTTATTTTAATGTACAATGCGACAATCATGTGCCGCAACGTAGTAGTTTGAAAAATTTTATGAGACTGCGCGATTGTGAGACCGCATACGGAAAAGCTAAAAATAATCGAATTCTATTTGCACATATTGTTAACAAAGCGCAACTTGTTTGCAATCGATGTGAAACAGCTGACAACATATCGATAAATAAATATACAATTTGAATGCCAAACAGCAGAGCCAACTTAGCTTTGCTTTTTATTTTTAAAACTTATAAAAACTGTACTTTGTGGGCTTAATTATGAGATGTTGAAGTATGAAAAATATTGAAAATAATATAAGCCAAATCACATATTAATCGCAACAGCAGGCTTTTACTTATCCGCATTGACAAAATAGCTTTTGAATATCGATAACAGTTTTCAAATTTTGGTTTTATTGCATGTATTTGTATTGGATATGGAGGAATGGGGCTCTACAAACAAATCAGGCGGTCCACTTGAGGCAACGTGTGTCTTGATGGGTGCGCAGGCAGCGCACGCGGCAATATCGCGTTCCACATGCGGTGCACGAATATTGCGAAAAGTTACCACAGACGGCACAGAAATGGCGAACGGGTTTCTTTGGCGGCGGCGCAGCGGCACTTTCATAATTCGGCCTCTGCTTATCCTCCTCGAGCAGTTGCTGGAAATTTTTGCGATATTTAGCGCGAAAGTATTCGGCTCCTTTGCGTTTGCCCTTCTTCTCTTTGCCGTTCTTGATGCTCTCCTGGAATTTGGGTAACTTTTTCGACATCACTAGATCCGCATGAGGATCATCTTGAAAGTTGTCCTGCTCCAAAGCTTCGAGAGCTTTGCGTGCGCGTCGCTTGCGTGCCGCTTCATCCAGGACACGTTTCTTTTCCGCATCCTTGATCCTATGCGATTCGCGACCCGTCATAATTTTGCTTGTAGAACTTTTGTATTTTGTTGTTTGGTTTTTTGTTGTTGCTTAGGCGTCCTTCTCGTGCAATGGAAAGCTGATGCGATCCATTAACTCGTCGACACGCGCCTGCAGCACTTCAACAATGTCCGTGGAAATGAATAGATGACTCTCGTCCAAATCTTGAATGATGAATTTTCGACCCAACGCCAGCTTCTCATCCAAATGTAGTAAAAATTGTTTCATAGCCGGATCACTAAGGAGAATATTTGTGAAGTGTGGGCGATTTATTTATTTATTGGCTTACTTACCATTCGACAAGCACTCCTTTCATAACATTTACCATGGTTTTATTGCAAATATAAAAGCATTTGTTGTTCTTGCTCCTCTTCTTGTTCGGATGTTACTCAAGTGAACATGCTTAACAGCTACACATGTGGGCACCCCAAAAACGCTAACATTTCATTAACAGCGCGCGTCTAAATTTAAGGAAATGGCGCTTAAAATTAATTCTATTAGATGCTCACTAGCTTTGTACCAGTCAACACGTATTATTCAGCTGCTATTTCGTTATTTAAAAAGCTTAATTAAAAATAATAAAGCAAGCTGCCGAAATGAAAGATTGAGATTGGTTCGCTTCGCGATAAATTGCCATTCACAGCGAGCGAATATTGGTTAACAGTGATGTTAACCGAATATTTAAAGTGATACTGTTCTTGCAATTGGGAACAGCTGTTTACCAACTATAACTTAATATTTTCAAATAAACATTAATAAAATATTGCTCTATTTTCCTTAATTCCTATTAACAAACCTGCGATTGAGGATCGCCGGTTTAATAATGCATTTGGTTATCTGAATATGCATTATGTTGAAAAACCGGCAGCAGCTTCGACTGAGCACATACAAAAACCATCGATAAATCGATGACCGATAACTTGTAGTATTGTTCTAACGCGTAGCCAGAAACATAGAAAATAAATAAATAATATTTATTTAAGTGATTTCCGTGACGTATTCATAATGTCGACACATTTTACAGTTGCGTTGGCGTTTATTTCACTTTTTGCCACTCTGGCGGCCGGCAAATCAGATCCTGGCATCATAGACATTGTTATAGATCAAGTAAAAAGCAAGCAAAACAACAAAACTTTAATCAAAAACTAATATGCTCTACTTGTGTTATTATAGGATCAGCATTCGATTATCGAGCAGCGTCCGCTGCTGGCCAAAACAAAGATCTACATTAAACGTGAGTATTGCAAATGCAATACGTGTTACCAATTCGCAATAAATGAAAATATTACCCTCCCCATACTCCCTTCACTCCCCCTTCAACCAATCAGTTGAGTGCACGTCTGAGACGGAAGTTCCGCTTACCATCAACTTTAAGCTGACCAAACATCCATGCCTCTACGAGGGACGTTTTGTGAGTAACGCAAATGAATTGTGTTTCATTGTATTCAAAAATATTTGCGTTCTCTTTTAGCTGCTCAGCGACAATCCGAATCTGCTGCAAAATGCTAGTCAACTCATTAAATCAACGGTTAGCAATGCCACATGTACGCATCTCGTTGTCCTGCAGGACAACACTGAGCAGCCAAAGGATGTGCATCCCTTGAAGCAGAGCCAGAATCCGCTTTCGGTAAATTTACGAACATATATCTATATAAATATACATCAATTTCAAAAGTGTGACTCAGTAATAACCGCACCTAAAGCAAACACTTTGGCCTTATCAAGCATTTCACTTATCGTAGTTTATAGCTATGTGTGCGATCCATTTTGTTACGGAAGTCTGGGAATTGTTGATAAAATGTTAGGCAAACCAGTGAATTAAGAGAAAACAGGTCTTTTTATTGTGTTGTGGTAAAATTTACCCTCGCCAACATTTGATTAATATGCCTTATCTATTTTATAGTGATTCAAGCTGATAAATCATAAGCAAATTTATAATTATCTTGCGTTTTATAGGCGATACCCAAAGCGATTGCTAATATTGATGAGGATGGCATCTATGAGCTGGAACTGACCATACTTACGTACATAACAGCGACGTCTCCGCCCGCCTTTCGGGCAACGGTACACATTGAATTTCTGGGACCGCATGGCTATATATCGGCTATAGATTGGCCATTCTTGCCGGTAAATCATGACGAGTAGCCCTTTATATATCTGTTGTTAACGCTGTCATAATTTTTTGCAGTTCTATTTGACCATGTGCGTTGTCTATGTGATTTTTGGTATAATTTGGCTATTTGTATCGTTTGCCCAATGGCGCGATTTGTTGCGCATACAATTCTGGATCGGCGGCGTCATATTGCTGGGCATGCTCGAGAAGGCCTTCTTCTATGCCGAGTATCATACGGTGGCCAATACGGGCTATCCGGTTCAGCATGCCGAACTCGTTGCTGAATTTGTATCGTGTGCCAAGCGTACTCTGGCCCGCATGCTGGTCATCATCATGAGCCTGGGCTTTGGCATTGTCAAGTAAATATTATTCATATCGTTTATTTGCTTTCTTATTTATTTACTTAACTGCAACCAAAGTCAGTCGACACAAAGAAATTCAAGCAAAAATGAAACTTCAAACTAAAAGATAAGAAATATTTCGACAGTATTTGAACCTGAGGAAATTGAATTTTAGCAGATTAGATATATGAAATATTATGTTAAGTACTTTTATATGTACTTTATATCTAATCATTTTTCCGTATGATAGGCCTCGCTTGGGACCCATGCTGCATCGCGTTGTGGGCGTGGGCGCTTTATACTTTTTGTTGGCCTGCGTGGAGAGCTATTTGCGCATTACCAAGGATAAGAGTGATCGCAGTGAGCTGCTGGTGGCCACCATTCCATTGGCCGTCCTCGATACGGGCATTTGTTGGGGCATTTTCACGTCGCTGGTGCAAACCACACGCACGTTGCGTCTGCGCAGGTAAATGCCCTAAAATATATATCCACTTGGCATATTAAATTTTTGGTTCGTTTAGAAATATGGTTAAGCTATCGCTGTATCGACATTTTACCAATACGCTGATATTCGCCGTCATCGCTTCCGTAATCTTCATGTTGTTTGCGTTGCGTTTGCGTAGAACCGAAAACTGCACGCCCGTAAGTTTTTACGACCGTATATTCCATATACACATTAAGTATTAAGTTCTAACATCGTTTTACATGTCGATCATTAGGGCTGGCGCGACATCTGGTTGGACACGGCTTTCTGGCATATATTGTTCTCTGTGTTGCTGCTGGTCATTATGATACTGTGGCGGCCCACAAACAACAATCAGCGTTATGCGTTTACGCCACTCCTGGATGCGCCCGAGGATGAGGACGATGAGGGTAAAGCGAATTCAAAAATATCTATTCATGTCTTGACAAATTAATTGACAATCTAATCATTACATTCAGATGAGGAGGAACAGTTCGTGGCGGATGCGTATGGCATTAAAATGCGCGGTGCACATCAAAATGGCACCGCACGACCACCAGCGAATGCGCGTGGGGCAACCACAACGGAAGAGGATGATTTGCGTTGGGTGGAGGAGAATATACCATCGGCGATGGGTGATCCAGCGCTGCCAGTGCTCGATTCTGACGAGGAGATCATCAATACCAAGTTTGAAGTCTCCAAAATGCAATAAGCTGCTGGCCTCGGTGGCGGTGTACCTAAGAGACTTTCACATTACTGTGTTGCACACTATTATTTATAACTGAATTATTGAACGCACTAATTGTCGGCAGAAGGGCATTAATTGCTGGACAACTCTTCTACTGCATCTCCCTCATTCTGTCTCTTAAATGCTATCCATATATGTTTATCGCTTACATCCACGTCCACGTCCAATCAGTCAGTAAAAACGCGATTTTCAAACAGCCCATGTAAAATATTGTATGTAATCGTAAACTATTTTAATTTTCGACCTCCTAAATAAATCTAATTTATTTGTAATCACTAGCTTAAGTTGTAGATATCTAACGCGCTAATTATGAAACTAAAAACCCAAAATTTCTTCACATTTCTATATACTTCTAACATTCACGCACACACAAAACACTCGAGTGTTCTTATCAATGTTGTCGCGTTTTTTGTATATAGTCGTTAATACACTTTATATATATATATATGTATATATATTTATATATATAATATATGCATATATAAATATATATATATTATCTGTAATAATCATGATAAAACAAATATGAACGAAACGCATAACAGGAAAAAGTTTCAATTCGATTTAAAGATAACTGAAAAAAAAAAACAAACAAAAAAATGAAGTCAAATACATTTGTATTCATGTATTTGATATAAGGCCACACATCTTATCATATTTAATGACGAAATACATTGTAACTCGTAGGGTAGTTTGCGATTTTTTCATGAAAATAAACAAACAGCCATACCAAACCAAACAAAAAGAAAAAAAAGAGATCCAATTTCTTTGTCTTTTGAAGAAATCGAACGGAAGTTAAGGATGAGATCACTATGATATGATAAGATATGGTTGCAATCGGTGCTTTATCATATCATTTTTATCGTGTTACCAGGTAAATAATTCAACAAGATTTTCGCTGATCGGTACGTAATGTGTATTTTTCACATAATACAGAGCGTTTCAGTAAAAGTACATAATGTAAAATTTATGCTTCGAGCTTCTTATTGTTAGAATACACAAACATACATACATTATTTATTTATATATATAAACACATTATTTATTTTCTCGAACGAGCTGCAAACGTTTCCCAAAAAAGAAAAATTAATATGCAAAACCAATCGAATCGAATCGTAAAAAAAAGAAACGTGCAAAACGAAATGCGAATGTTTTGCATCACCTTTCCGATACACAAAAATGATGTTGTATGCATTATACAGATACAAATACTTAAAATATACTGTCTAAAAGGCGTCGGAGGAGCTGGCGCGACATTTGTAAGTGGACTTTAATGCTTTCTATGTATTTGTAAATTGCAACAAGGCGAGGGGCAGGTGTAGTTGAAATATGGGCAATCAATTTACATTAATACGTTTCTGTTTCTGTTTTTTTTTTTCATTTTTTTTGTTTTCTTTTTTCATTTAACAAGTTTTTGTCTATTTTGTCGTATCGTTAACAAATTTAATGCCTAGAAATGCGCATTGTAATTACTTGGTAAGTTGCTTATTTTCGCATATAATGAAATTGAATTACGCGGCCAATTCGATTACTGTCCCTATAAACGCCATTAGCGCCAATTGCTCAGTTCGATTCGGGTTTAACATTGCGCCTCAATATTGCCGCAGCCAGATCCTGTTTCATGGCCGCCTGGTCGCGCTGATCGGCCAGCGACTGTGTGCTGCGCAATCCATTCACAATATCCTTGGTCTTGCCAAAGTAAATGGCATTCAGTGTATTGCGTATTTTGTTCTCCATCTCCTCGACCATTTTGCCAATGTTTGCGATATGCGGCGATGATTCGCTCACATTCGCGTCCTGCTCCGTTTGCCGGGTCAACGAACCGCCCAAATTCATTGTGCCCGAGCCCTGTTTGTTTGTCTGCAGCCACAGCATCGCCGTCGACGTGAGCTTGTAGTGTGCCGTACGTCCCGTTGTCTTCTCCTGCACCTCCACCACGTGTATGGAGTCCCAGCAGCCGCGTATCTTATTACTGCCATCGCCGGCTTTTTTGATGAGTATCACAGCGGCGAAACCATGATCCAAATCCCATAGATATACCGAGGAGACGCCGCCCTCATAGTACATCTCGCGATACTGATCGAATGCATAGTTCGCCTCGATCTCCAGTTTGCGCAGACGCTCCGATGGCATTTGGCCATCTTCCAGCGCTGGATAGTAGGTGTTGGACCAGGGCGAACGGTATGAGTCGCCATCGCGATTATAATCGCACAGCAAATAATCTTTGCCATGCTCCCTGTCTTTGGCTATCTTCAGCGGCTGGTCCACCGACGACAATAGATCCTCACACAAATCGGGCGCCAGATCAATCAAATCAATTAGATTCCTCTCAATCTGCTGAGGCGGCAGCCGTCTCATCAGATCCAGCGCACAATCCATTTGCATTTCCGACTGTAAGCAGCAAATAGAAAATGGTTTATCTTATGATTTAGATTCCCGCATTGAGTTTGAGTCATTTCACGGCTCTGCCTGATAAGTGACCCCGACTCTTCGCCTGTCTTCCACACCCCACCACAAAGCAACACAGCCGGCACGCCACGACGACTTCCATATATGGGCATCGTTTTAGGTCACAGGCCAACAACAACAACTCAACAACCCGACCCAATGTGGCAGTATTGAAATACTTTCGGCATTCGACACTCAATAATTTGTTGCACCTGCGTCACTTAGGGCGGCAGCCAAAAATAACTTGTTTTTTTTTTCTTTCTTCTTTTCGGTGGCTTATTTTCATATCTTTTGTATTACTCACCATTTTGTTAACTGTGACTGTTTTTTTGCTTTTGGCTGGTTGTGCTCAGTGTTGTATGGCTTACAGATTAATGTGTGTATTTAAGTTGTTTCCGAATCGGTATTTAGGAAGAGCTATAAAGTGTCGTTGATCCGTAATTGACGAATTAAAACAACAAACAACTATAGTTAACAACAATTTGCTCTTACTCGATTCGTCAGCACGTAACACAATGGCGTCTGACCATTCACATTTCTCGTGCACAAGCAATCAGCTGTTGTAAAATAGGTGGGACGAGTACTCTATCGATAGTTGCATATCGCAAGTATCGATATCTATGCCAGTCCGCTATTGGCATTGCGGTTTCTTGAATTGTCACGCATTTGCTATTTAAAATTTAAATAAAACTACTGGTTTTTTTTTTGTATTATATTTTTAGCAACAAGTTTATTGAATTTAGATTTTTCGTTCATATACTTCTTATGCTCAATATCTGTTTCCCCATTTTCCATGCTGTGTGAGTTTTTGTTACAATGCGTTTTTTCTGTATGTCTTTTTTTTGGTTGTGTATAGCTTAGATTTTATATTTTACACAAAAGTTTATGCCATAATCGTAAATTTTTAATCCGAATTGTCATTAAAAATATATTTAAGCTGTTTACTTAAATTTCTCGCTTGCACATATACCAGATATATAGAAATCATACGCACAGAGTGAAAATACAGTTTTAGATTCATTTCTTTTCCCTTCTTTCCCTATTTTTCTTACACACTTTTTTAATTTCGTTTTTTTTTCTTTCATACATTTATAGTATATAGCCAAATACAAATGTGTGAATGTGTGTGAGTGTGTGTGTGCTTCTCTGTCTGTTTCATAAGTAGTTTAATAATCATAAACTTAGTCAATTTTTTAATATTTTTTTTGTTGTTTTTTTTTTAAGTTTTTTTTTTATATTTTTAATTAGGTGTATACTTTGACCATATAAATGTAAAATCTCAGACTTTAATTTTTAACTAAAGTGCACTACATACAGAAAGTGTTCAGTGAAATGTGAACTAAATATGATGTTTTTTTTTCTTTTCTTTAAATAGTAATCGTAAATTGTTAAGAGTTATTGCAAAATGAAAAAAAGTCTGAAAAATAATTTGCATATGACTTTCATTATTTTCTAATTGTCAAATCAATTTAATAAGTAATTATAATTTGTATTTTGTTTTTTGTTTTTTTCTTTATTCTTAGTAAATCTTTTGAAGTTTAATATTTCGGCTAATTAAATATTTATTTAGTTACGCATTACGCATTCATAGACATTTTGCCAATACTCGTCTTCATACATAGAAAAAGAAATCAAAAGCTGTTTAAATAAGTTTCTCATTTTTAATTTCTCATATTTTTTTTCATTTCGTATTCGTATTTCAACCAATCATTAATTATGCAACATTTTCTTATCAACGCATCGACAATCAAATGTAATCACAGTTTTATGTTTTCCTTCTTTATATAAACTCATTTTCATTTAGCTATTTATTTCACTATTTTCGCTTGTCGCTTTGTGTATGCGTGTGTCTGTGTGTGTGTGTATGTGTTGCTTGTTGTTTTAGTTGTTTGTTGTGATAGTTGTTGTTGTAATTGTGTTTTCTGGGTTGGTAATAACATAAAAATCCATCAAATCAGTTAATGATAAACAAGTGCATTCTTATGTGTAAGTATGCATGTATGTATGTATGTATTTATGTATGTATTTATGTATTTATGTATGTGTGTATGTACTATATGCTAAGTCGTCATGTGCTTCAAAAACTCACCATACTCTACCCAGCCTAATCCCATGCCTTACTTTCATTTTTCTCCATTTCTTTTATGAACACTCATTAGATTTATCTTCATTCCTTTTTTCATTTTTCATTTCGTATTATCTCATGTTATTAGATTGATTAATACTATTACGTATTTAGAAAACTTTAAGAATATTGCACAACTTTTGAAAATGTTGACTTGACCGTCGTTTTCTTTGTTCATTGATTTTTAAAAATATTTCATTTAATATTTAATTCCTGAGTTGTTCATAATCGTTTTGCATGATTATTACACTTGCTTCGTATTCGTCATCGTCTTCGTCATTTTTTTTGTTTTTTTATTTTTTATTTTCATTTGTTGTAATACATATCGAAAAAATGTTTTTTTTTTTTTAAATATTTTAGTTTTGTATTAAATGCATGTATACATCGTCGTGAGTCTTGATAATGCCCTGAGTTTGCTCCAAACGGATTTTTCTTTAAAACTATGTATTTATGCTTGCCTTTATTATACATATGTATATGTACACACCATATAAGTATTTAGAGTTTATTTGCATAATTTATTATTTTATGTGGACTTCTTCTTCTTCTTCGTCTTCTTCTTTGCACTGCATATTTCTGCATTCGTTAAAAAAACGGTTGAAAATATAAAATTTTTCTTGGTTTATTTTCAATTTTGCACACTTTGCAGTTCAGCACATAGTCAAAATATTGTTTACTATTCTTTGTTGTTGTCTGTGTAACTCAAGTTTTGTTGCATTTTTCTTTTCAAAATGAAAAACTAATCAAATTATAGTTTGAAATAATTCCATTTCGCTTTTCAACTGAACCGTCCTAAAAGTCACACCAATTGCCAAATATTTGGCAGTTGTCTCTTAACTTGTATTTTTTTTTTGTTTTGTTTTCACTTTATCCTTTATGCCGAAAAATTTGTACGTATTTTCATAATATATTTGTTAATTTAAAATTTAACTGCTAAATTTTGTATTACCTGAAATTTTGTACTTGTCATTGTTCCAAAAGTGTTTTGTATGCATTTGCCTTAATTGTTTTTTTTTTACATAATTTTTTTTTCGTTTTATGTTTTTTTTTTTATGTGTGACCTACATTTAATTTAATTACAAATGAAGACATAAAGAAAACCATTAAAGTACAGAAAAATAGATAAAAATCAAATATTAAATACGCACATAGATTAAATTTAATTTGTACTCGCTTCGATTTCTTCGATTTCCATTTAGACAATTTTACAACAACTTGATTTACACATTCATAGAGAGGAGGGAGGAGTTGAGTACAAACACCGATTTTATGTGGTCTAAGCCTAATATTTTGCCATATACATATATAGATATAACGCTGAACTGAACTGTAAAGTCGCTTAGGCCTAAACACATTTTGCTCTTATGTTTTTTTTTTTTTGCTGTTATTAACTTTGTGGTTTGTGTTTTCTTTTCTTTTTTTTTAAATTGTAGTATATGTATTTGCCTTCACATAGATGTGTGATTTGTTTTTAATGTGGTTTAGATACATATATACAAACTAAATTGCTGTTGTCCGCGTGCTAAAATAACTGCAAAAATAATAATTCATAAATTTTGTTTTATTTCATTAAACAAAGAAAAAATACGTGATACCAATAAAAAATTGCCAATTCGTCAAATTTGTCGTGTTTTTTTTTTTTTTGGTTTTTAACATTTATTTAGTTGCATTAATTTAGCGTATATATATTGTATATATATGTTTATATATATATATATTGTGTGTATATATAATAAATTTAGTTTCTTTTTTAAACATAAACGTTACAAATTAAAAAGAGGTAAACAAGCCAATTTGCGTGCTGAATTAGCAAATTATAATTGTACAACATAAAACATAATGTTACAAAATAATATAGAATATATTTCACATACATTTTCACTTAAAATTAATTTCATTTCTGTTGCTTCTTCTTCTTCTTGTTCTTCTTCTTGATATTTCATTTTATAGTTATTTCAAATAACTTAGATAAGATTTTGTGCAGAAGAAATAAATACACAGGAGGTAAACCAAACCAAAAACGAAATTAACGCCTTTACTTTTAGTCAATGTCCTGTGACTAGCTTGTGGCTGAATTCATTTTTTTTTTTTTTTTTTGAGTGTACTTGAAAAAATGGAAAGTAAAAAAGGTTGTGTGTTGCCTGGATAAGTACAATTGGCTTGTTGTTGTTGTTGTTGTATTTTTTCTGTTTCATCTTTATGATATTCAACTAAATATTAATAGAAAACAAGTACTAACAAAAATATATAACAAAAATTACTTACATCGCGCGTTTTTCTTTATACAACGAACTTTATTTCAATTTTCATTTTGCTTTCGTTTTTTTTTTTTTTTTTTTTTTTTGTTGACTTTGTTTTTTGTCAGTTTTTAGCATAGGTTTGTATTTTATTTTAATATTTTAAATGTAGCTCTTTGTACCTGTGCACATTACACATATTCAAGTATTACAATTTTTCGTTTTGGTTTTATCGAAAACTTCTCATGCTTACAAATTAATTTATACAACGAAAAATAAGGGGAAATTAAATGAAATAAAATTAAACAATTGTACAGCATTTAAAATGTTATAAACACAAAATATATATACATATATATATATATATATATATATATATATATATATATATATATATATATATATTTATAGTACATACACAAGTATTTTTAGTTTAATTTGTATTTATGTATTAAATTAGTTGTATGTATGTACATTAAAAGTTTACGGTTTCTTTTTTTCACAACACATTTTTTATCTTTTTTTTTCGGTGCTTGCCTTTTGTTGTTGTTGTGATTGTTGTTTCAACTTTTAACGCTCTAAATGCAAAATGGCGACATTTTTGTGTTTTTGTGTTCTTGTTAAATTTAGTTTTTAATTTATGCATTTTTGTCACTTACATTTTTACAAAGAAATTATTTTAGGCCGCTTTTGTCGAAAGTTGGCCTAAAACTTAATGTTTACTTTACGTTTTTCGCTCTAAATAAATATTTATGCAAATATCTGGTAATTGTTTTTTTGTTTTTGTTTTTTGTTTTTTTCATTATATTTTATGTTCTGCGAGTGCCTAATTGTTTTTGTTTTTGCGTTAAGTTTTACATAAAAATATCTTGTTTTTTACGATTTTCATTTTTTTTTTTGCAATTTTTTGTTGTTGTTAAATTTAAGCCGAAATTTTAAGCCTAAAATGGTTTATATGCTTAGTTTTTGCTTTTATGTATGCAAAATTTCTTTAAGAAAGATTTTTTTGTATTTAAAGTTTGTATTTTAGTTTTACATATTTTTAATTTTTATAACCATTGGGTTTCGCTTTGAATTGAATTTAATTAAATTTTCTTTTTCTTTTTTGTTTTTGTTTTTTTTTTTTTTGTTTTCTGTGTGGCTGTCAACAAAATTCTTTGGACAGTTACGCGTAGCTCTAGCAAAAGTATACCGTTATTTAGCGTTTGTGTTGGTTTTTTTTTTTTTCGTTAATTTTAAGTTCTCATAATTTTTATAGCCTTAAAATAATTTCTTTGTATTTTGTTTGTTATTGTAGTTTTACATATTTAGTTCATATAATGTAATGTTTTGTGTTGTTTTTTTTTTTTGTTTTTGTTTGTTTTTGCCTCATTTAGTTGCTTTGCCGAAAATTATGTATACACATTTTTCTTTCTTACTTGCCTCTACACATATACATACAAAGTAAAATTTTTTTTAAATTAGTTATAGTTAGTTATATAGCCAAAGATTGTAACTTTACATTAAATGTTCTTATTTTCGTGTATTTGTTGAAATTTCGTGTTTAATTTAGCGCATATTTACAAAAACCTATACAAAAAAAAAAACATTTCTTGTTTGCCAAAGTTGTTGTTGTTGTTGTAATTTTTTTACATTCAAATTTTGTAGGTTTGTTTTTTTTTTTGTTGTTGTTATTTTATTCTAAAGCCAAAAAGTGTGATGCAAATTAATTTTGTTACTCGAGTGTTTTTGTAAATATTTCGAAATGAAAAGCCAAAAGGTGTGGAGGTGTGTGTGTGTGTGTGTGTGTATAGGTGTAAGTGTGTGTATAGTCTGTGTGTCACCATTTTACAATGAAAACTAAAAAAGAAAATTGTATAGTTTTTAAGTTTTTTCGTTTGTTGTTGTTGTTGTTGAGGTTTTCTGTATATTTTTTAGATTTTAAGATATTTTTTGCAATATGCGCAGTCTATTGGGGCCCATTGAGGTAGTTCAGTTAACTATTGCAGTTCGATATTTTATTGCTATTTGCTTTGTTGTAATTGTTGCTATTGTTTTGTGTGTGTCTTTTGCATATTACGTACGATTAGTATAATAATTACGTGATAGGATTTAAATCATATAAAAACTAAACAATAAAAAATACATGACTAAGAACTAAAGCTGTTTTTTTTTTAGCATCTTCAAATTAGATTGGTTGTTTTTTTTTCTTTCTTCATATTGTTTGTCTGCTGTTTGCCAAACCATAAAAAAAAAAAACAAAGAGGTAGTTTCCATTCTGAGGTATATGAGTTCCTGAGTTTGATTTACATACGTACATATACAATATGGTACATAAGTCTAAACATACATATATATATATATATATATATATATATATATATATATATAAAACTAAGTGCTATAAAACAAAATCCTAAGCATATTTTGACGACAAATTATTAGTAATAATTATTTGTAACATAATTGTAAAGCAATTACGCGTTCGCAGCTGCCACGCCCACTTGCAGCCGAAAGAACGCCAACGCCGACAGCAACGTACTTAAAAATAATATGTAATTCAGACTCCAGAGAACGTTGCTGCGGCAAAGGCGTTGCTGCAATCAACTGGGAGGATGGGGGCGTGGCCAGGTAGCTTTTTGAGCGATGGGGGAGGGGGGGGGGGAGGATGGGAACGGGACCATGGGAGCAACAAAATATATATATGTGCATAGACATTAATTATTATTATGTTTGTTGTAGTATTTAGTTTTGTTTTTTGTTTTTTTTGTTTTTTGTTTTTAAAGTAAGTTATTGCAATTATATTTCTTCATTTTAGTTTGTGTTTTCTTGTGTTTTCGAGTTCGAGTTGTTAAGGAGTTAGGAAGCAAGGGTCGAAGAACTATATATTAAAAAAAATATGTAGAAAACAAAAATCTTTGCAGCGTCAAACGTGGTTCGAGCGCTGCACATCACAGAACAAACTGGGCTTTTGGGTACATTTACGTAAGAACTACACAAAGAAAATGTAACGGTTCAAAATGGCCGATATCTATGCGGATATGGGAAGCCATTCGAAGTGTGCGTGTACATGTGTGTGTGTGGGTGTGTGTGGGTGTATATTGTGTATTAACATTTGATATATATAGTTGTATGTATGTAACTAGATATTTCATATACTTTAACATTTGGCTATTCCGTTATCTGAATACTATTTGAGTGTATTTGCTTCTTCAACTATTGTAATTGTGTGTGTGTGTGTCTGTGTGTGTGTGTATGTTGTGTGTGTGTGTGTATGTGTGTGTGTGTATCACCCTGTAGTTATATGTAAACGAAAATCTTGCACTATTGTGTCAACTTAAAGAGAGAAAGTGTTAGGAAAAACTAAAAGAAAAAATCTACATGCAAGCAACTTTTGGCGAGCCTAAGTGTTCCTACATATGCGCTTAATATACATATACATATACATATACATATATGTATATATATGTATATATATATACATAAGATTAGGCATTCAATATGCCAATATATCATTTTACATCTGAGCCTTAATTCATAAGCTGTGTGTGTGTGTTTGTGTGTGTGTGTATGTGTTTTTTGTATTTTTTTTTCCATTATTTACAGTGCCTGGGCACGCCCTCTCATATATAAGAAGGCGTTGGCAATTCAATTTTTGCTTACAACAAGAATTATCAATTAATATTTTTTTTTTACAGCATTTTGTTTACAAAAATTATATAGAGCCGAAAAACAGAATTTTGAATTTACGAAATTTACTTCTTGTTTTTGTCATTTTTTGTCTGGATTTTTGGGTTGTTGATTTTGGTTTTAGGGGGAAAATGAAAACAAAAAAAAAAATGTTGTTTCTTGAAAAATGTTTTCCAAAGGTGTGCCAAAAGTTTTTGATTTCGAATTTTTGTTTGTTTACATTTTGCTGTAATTTTTGTTGTTGCTTCTTTGTTTGTTTGTTGCTTTTCTTTACCAAAGTTTGTTGAGAACGTTTTTGAGTGGTTTTCATTTTGTTTGCATTTAACTTTCAACAAGTTCCTTTCTCAATTTTTGTTTTTGTTTTTTTTTTTTTTGCTATAATTATATTTTTTACTTTCGTTCTTTATTTAAATATATAAGCATTTTGTTATTTTTATTTTGTTTATAAAATTTTACTAATAGTTGTTTAATTTATATATTTTTTATAGGCACCCAATTTACCAATTGTTTTAATTATTTATTGTTGTTGAACAAAATAAAAAATGATATAAATAAAATTTCTTTTGCATTTGCAGTTGATTTTGGCCAAAAAGTTTGCTGTGCGTGTGTGAATTTTGAGAAGCCCAAAAATGTTCTGGTAATAAATGAAAGATTCTGCATTAAAACAAAATAACGCACATCTGTGTGGGAAGAGGGGGCGTGGCAGCCAACTGTTTTTCTGTTTTTTTGCCTTTTGTATTTATAAATTTAATAAAATTATTTACAAAAAACTTGGCAAAAAACTTGCAGCCGGCTTCACGCCGTCTTTTTGTTGTTCTTCTTCTTGTTGTTTTAAAAAATTAAATGCTTTTGTATTTTAGTTTTTTTGTTTTTGTTTTTGTTTTTTTGTTTTTTTGTATTCGCTTTATACTATTTAATTATTGCAGGTACTTGTGGTTGCGGTTTTTGTTGCTATTGTTTCTTTGTAGTTTGTTGTTGTTGTAGTATGTAGCTATTTTTTGTTTTATTATTTATTCACTATTTTAAATTCAGTTATTTGTTTGTCTTTTTGTTTTTTGATTTGAGGCAACTTGCAGTGGTTTTTTTGTTTTTGTTTTTGTTTTTCGTTTGTTTCTTGTTTAAAAATGAATATATTTTGTGTGTATTTTACAAAAAACAATAATTGCGATTTATATTTATATTAAATACACAAACAATTATTTAATTTTTTGCAGCTACGTTTGGCGGCACCAATCAAAAACGTTCAAACTTTCTGTTATTTAAGCATAAACTATTTTTGCTGTTCCATATTTGTATGCGCTTTTCTCTGACTTGGTTTTTGTTGACTTGGTTTTAGTTTTCCTTTGTTTTAATTAGCACCCTGAAAACGATTTTTCAGCCGGATTGCATTTTGTTGTGTTCTCTTTGCTTTGCAGCTTTTTCCTTTTTCTTTTTTTGTTTTAATAATAAAAAATGTAAAATGTTTAATCTGCGCTTTGCTTTGCTAATTTGTTGTTAGTCTGTTTGTTTGTTTGTTTGTTTGTTAATTGTTGTTGTTGTTGTCTGAAATTAAAATTGTCAATAAAATTCATCATTTAAAAACATCAAATACTGCAGTTGTGTACTTGTATGTGTGTGTACTGTGTGTGTGTGTGTGTGTGTGTGTGTGTTTAAGGTTAGTTTAGTATTAGATTAGTTTATAGTAAACATTTTGCCAAGACTTCTAAGAGTCTGGGACTTTTTTAGGTGGTCTCCGAGGGCAACAACAGTTGCAACAGTAGTCATTATCTTCATTTCTTTTTTCAGATCAGCTGTTCTTCTTGATCTGCGCATAAACGTCTCTTTTTCATCAATCATCATCACTCAATCACTCAATCACTCATCATCAATAAATCATTTATAAATTCTTAATATTTTAGAGGGTTGTCGGGGGCATTTTGGGGGGGTGGGGTGTGGGGGGGTGCTTGTGGCGGGTGTTTTTTCATCATCATTTGCTTACTGCTCACTGACATCCACATTGAGCTTGGGCGTTGAGGTCAATGTGGGTGGTTCGTGTGGCATAATCATCATCATGGGGCTGGTGGGCGTCGAAGTGGGCGTGCGTTGCAATTCAGCTTCCGATTCATACAGCTGCTGTTGCTGCTGCTGATCTTCCTGATGCTGCTCCTCATGCTCATGCTCATGCTCCTGCTCCTGCTCCGCCTCCTCCTCCTCCTCGCTGTCGGACAGCGGCTCTATTTTGGGCTCAACTACAACAAGCTCGGACTCGGGATCTGGCGAACGCATCGGCTCATCGATATCCATGGTGGTGGCCGCCTGCTTGGCTGCCTCACTGACATCGCTTGCCTCCGCATCGCTGCAATCTGTTGTTGTTGTTGTCGCAGTTGTTGTTGTTGTTGCTGTTGTATTGGCCGTGGTATCCATGGCCTCCGCCGCCTCCGCTGCCGCCGCTTGCTGCTGGTGCTGCTGCTGTTCACGTTGCTCCTGTTCAGCGGCCATTGCCGCCTTAATTTGCAACGCCAGCTCCTGATGCACCTGCTGCCGATGCTGCTGCTGATGCTCAAAACTGAGCAGTGCCGCTGCCGCAGCCGCTGATGCCGCCGCTGCCGTCGATGATGCCATCGTCGTCGACGTCGTCGTTGTCGTCGTCTCCCCGCCCGATGATCCTACGCCCCCTCCAATTTGATGATGTTGTTGTTGTTGATGATGATGATGATGATCTCCCCCAGTCACTGCCTCAGCGGATGCCATCGCATCCCGCCGCTGCATACACTTCTCCAATGCCATTTTGAGTGATTTACGTTTACGCTGCTTAGCCGCCTCCTTGTGGGCGCTCATGACTACTGCTGCCGCTGCCGTTGCGGCCGCTTCCTATGGTGAATGATTGGCGGCTGCCGCTGCCGCCGCCGCTGCTGCCACATGCGCCGGCGCAATTGTCGCCCCGGCAGCCAAACCAATCTCCTGCTTATGCTCCCGGGCAATGTGCCGACGCACCGTATTGTTGCGCGTGAATGTCCTCTCGCAGAAGGGGCACGGCACACGGATGCCCTGATGCCGCTGACGGATGTGTGCCCGCAGATTCGTCTCATAGCCGTACAGACGATCGCAATACAAACACTTCAATTTCTTGCCATCGGCTGTGTTGACACTGTTCTTGTTGTTCATCTTGGTGGCATTCCACACGTTCAACATGTCAGCTGGTGCTATCGATGCTGCCAAATTGCCAGAGAGCGAACCATCCGCGTTCTTTAGATTCTCCAGCAGCGCATTCGGTGTCGTCGATGATGTGTTCGAATTTGGTTCGAATTTCGGCGGCGTAAAGCTTGAATTCTCCAGCTTCACACGCAAATCCTCAGCGCCATTCTGTAGATAAACAGAGAGAGAGAGAGGAAGAGGGGAAAAGAAGGGTTTTCTTTTAGTAATCTTTAGGTAATTCGCTTTGAGTTTCAGTTCTGCATACATCTGTTGACTCATCCATCAGTTCGCGTTCGTCGTCGTTAGCCTCATTGGCACTGCCATTATTCCGCTCCGATTTCACAATGCGATCCAAACTGCTGGGCGCATTCCCATTGCCGGCGGTGGTGCTCGGACTGTGGTTCTCATAGCGGCTGCAAATTGATTGATATTATTAGTAATCTATATATAAATATTGGCTTATCAAAGAATTGCAGCTGAATACCTGGCTCTAATAGATGATGCTAACTACTTTCCACCAAAAATCATTTGCCCAAACTTTAAATCGTTTTTTTTGTTGGGATTTTTGTGCATAACTTTTGAAAGTTATTGTTCTGAAAAGATTTAGCACTTTTTTGGGAGTCTAATCATATCATTAACTCCGAGCCAGAAATGCTTTTCCAGCTTTAAATTTAGCATTTATGTTGAAGTCAAGCAATGAGAGAAAATTCAAAATCTGATGACTTTTAACGAAGTTATGGCTCTGCAAAGTTTCGATCCATCTCTATATATCCATTCCCCTTCCCATCTCCTTCCCATCCCATCCTAATATTAATTATTCATCAATGTTGGATGCTGTGGACAACCCGCTCTACATTTTGGTGGCGCTTACCTGGACTGCGGTGAGGCACGTTCAGAGTGCATTGTGTCTGCCTCTGTGGGCGCCGTTGAGGAGGCGCTGGACGAGGGCCGATGGTACGGTGGCTTATTGATGGGGCTGGGACACTCCGAGGAGTTTTTGGAGCCATCGCGCAGAACGCTGCCGCGCAACTCCTGCTCGGCGAAGGGACTGCGTAGGGCGCGCTTGCGCAGCGGCTCGTTGAAGGACATGGGACGGTGGTACATTGGCGGCACATAGCCAGACATGGCGCCCAGCGATGTGGAGCTGCTCGGATGCATCAGTGAGTCACATTCCTGCTTTAGGCTGCCCGTGGAGCCGCCTAAATGCATTGCGACAACGCTGCTGCCCAGACTGATGGGTCCATTGTTGCCACCGCCAACGCCAACATTATTACCGCCACCAACGCCAGCTGCAGAGCCCGTGCTCATTGGACCAACGCTTGACGCGGAGCCGCTAATGATGTTGCCACCAGCGCTGCCGCAACGATCCAGCGCACCAGCACTGGCCGCCAGAGCGCTTAGGCCGCTTGCCGCAACGCTTGCCGCCGCAGCCATGCCACCAGCAGCAGCCATGCCGCTAAGTGCGCCCGCCAGGCTCAGCCCATTGCCGGCAATGGCGCCGCTGTTGGCGCCACCCAAACCGATGCCGATGCCGCTGTTGTTGTTGTTGTTGTTGCCGCCACCGCTGCCACTTAAACTGTTGCGCATGTTGCGCCTCCCAGTGGGTGAATCAAGCGGTGAGCTATCGCCACCCATGTGTTGCTGCTGCGCCTGCTGTGCCGCCAAACGGCCCGTCTCTGTGGACAGACCCTTGACCTGATCAAACGGAAAGTGTTAGTTAGAAATCAGGTGAAAATCTATCAACGAAACTCTCACCTGTAGACTCTCGGCGGATTTGAGAAAACTGTTGAGCGCCTCCTGGGAGACATGGACTTCGCCCTTATACATAAACTCCAGCAGCGCGGCCATGTTGTCCGGCGTGGTCGCCTCCAATATGATAACGCACTGGCCATTTGTCGGCGTATTCTCAAACAGATCGGCAAACTTTTTCGAACAGGCGGCCAATATTAGTTTGTGTGCTCGGAAAACGGCGCCTAAAATGGAAAGAAATAAATGGAGTGATAATATTTGAGAAAGTAAAAGGAAAACAAGAGCTTAGAGTATCTATTTTAGTTAACAATAACAAAAAGGCGCAGTTTCCAAATATCGGTTTAGTTTTGCTATCATAAATTATAGCAAAAGTACGAGTAAATGCAAATTATAGAAAAACTAAATACTTATTAATGTAAATACATGTGTAAAAGTAAGTCGCTAGATCAACTGTATTAAAGCTTATACAAGAAGGCAGCTTAAATCAATATAATATAAATAGGCAAACAGAGTTTTGCCCCAAAAGCCGATTTTATAGCGCACATTGTGGCGCAATGCGAATAGTAAAGAAATTAAAGCATACTTTCCGGCGCTCGGCTATAAAATGCGGCCAACAGGTGGCGCCGCAAGCATAAAACGCTTAGAGACCTTGAACTCATAAAAATCATGTCACACACACACACACACATTCACTTATATATACTTATATATAAAAATAAGCATAGATATCAGGCACACAAAAGCATAATAAAAGTCGAGCAAGGAAATCATTTCCTTGCTCTTGACTCTACTCGCAAACACACACACATTGTCTGTGTGTGTGTGTGTGTCTGAGTTATTATTCAACATCAACGTCTTGGCCGACATCTTTTTCTCCGCTGTGTGTGTGTGTGTGTGTGTGTGTGTGTGTACCTGTGACATACAAAACCAGCTGCTGCTGCTGCTGCTGCTTCTGCTGTGGCGTATACGCAATATCCCTTTTGCAACCACCCCCCACCCCACCACCCTTCGACAGTATAAGTATATTTTTATGTGTTTTCTTGACTAGTCGTCGCTGGCTGCCTTTTGTTATATACCACATCTCTGTGGACGGGGTATAGTTTTGGGTCTCGGCTTCTGTGTGTTGGCATTTTTCACGCTTTTACTTTTTTTTTTTTTGGCAAGCAATGGCTAAGACCAAGGGTTGGGTTGTGCTGTAAGTTTATGGGGCACTTGTTGTACTTGTGCCGCGTGCTACTTAAGTCAAATTGAAACGACAAGCGCGCACTGGCACACAACTCGCAAGATATTCATATATAGCTCGATTTATTTCTACAATACTTTGCAAAGTTTTCGTCGATTGCAAAAATATGTAAGTTGGCGGAGCCTTTAATCTAATCAAAGTGCAGCTGTAGCAAATTATTTTCAGCAGAAATGTGTGTCAATTTTTATATTGCCATGTGGCTGATAAGCGTTGCCTATCAGCCGATGTGACTTCTTACTAAATTTACTTGTGGAATCAAAACAACTGAGAGAGAGGGAGGGAGAGAGAGAGAGAGAGGAAATGCACTAAAGCAATAAATGCAGACAAGATCTAATAGAATGTCTATGATTACTGTCTTTTTTATGCAATCAAACTTACAATTTTTTCCTAGCCAATTAAGTGCAATTGTTTATCAATCAAAAGCAATAACCAATTTTGGCCTATCTACTATCAAAATTCGAAAAAACTGCCTGTTAATGCTAGCATTGCAGTATTTAGCAGAGCATTCTTAGTCGGGTTGTTATATGCTTTTCGTCAGGGTATATAAATGTAGGGTATATAAAAATGTACAGCTCTTATATAATCGAAATGCATGCGCAGCATTTAATTTAAACCACATCAATTGTTATTTGTAGATTAACATTTTTATTTCGTTCATTTTTCTATTTTTATTCCCATATATATATATATATATATTTTTTTTTTGCTTAATTTCTAACACTTGATACAACAGAAATTAGGTCACAAGCGCCTCAAAGAAAACGCAAAAAAAACAATTCAAAACCCGAAAATATACGCATATTTCACCAATGCATATGTGTGCGATTATTCGCTGATAAACAAATAAAAATGGGGGGAAAAAGAAATGGAAAATAACAACAAATGCCATACTAATTGACTGGCGTTGTTTACGTTCTGCCTCGCAGCGTAAGCGTATGTATTACACACATATATATATATATATATATATATATATGTATAATATATATATGTATCTGAGCAATTAACTATTAAACTATTAGAAAATATGTTTTGATTTCGGGTGCACTTTAAAATTCATTAATACAATGGCAACAGTTGAAAGCTGTTTTTGTTTCTGCATATATATATAATCTTATCGTCTCTAAGAGCCGATGATTCATATTTATATGTTTTTATGCACTGTTCTCAAGTGCAAAATAGTGCGACGCCATTGGGAGGGATTAAAAAGTCAAGGTTTTTTATGAAGAGATTGCGTGAAGACTTTTTAAGAGTTGCTAGCACAAATATCAATATTTACATGAATATTGTAGAGCATATATATATAAAGCTGCCATAGCAAATTTCCATAGTGCTTTAAATTTTGTATTGAAACTTTAAAAATTATGTTTGTTTTTTTTTTTTTTTTGTTTTTTGCAACTCCAAAAAGCTTAGCCAAAGTCTGAATCCATTAGTACACCTAATGCGAGTACTTGTTAATGACTCTGCTGCCGTTCGGTGAATAGCAACCCCCGAAAAAATAAACTCATCGAGAATGGCCCAAGGCCAAGCAAATGTTCATTTCGCAAAAATGCTCATTTCTCAAGTGCTGAAAATGCCCGAAACCAATGTAACCCCATCTACCAATAAAAGAAGTGGAAAAAAACAAATACAGAGAACCAAAGCAAAGCGCACATGAATATTAAAAAACAATCGAAAACATATTTGCTATTTGCCTTTGTTCGAAGGACTGGCAAATATTTAATGCTTCATTTCGAAAATGTACAAAAATACAAAAAAAAAAAAGAAGAAAATAGAAATGGTAAATCAAACATAAAATGGATATGAATACGTTAGAATATGTGATATTTTAGAATGAAAAATATTAAAAACCACAATTAAAAGCGGTACTCCAAAAAAAAGGACGAACAAGAATGAATATTTTTTTTTGATTTGTTGTTTTTTGGGTGGGGCGCATTTCAAAATTTTAATCAAAAGTAGTAGCACTTCGATTGATATGGATGACAACGGCAGCTAGGCAAAGGCAAAGGGTTTTAGAGTATGTCATTTTTTGTTTTTTTTTTTTTGTTGGTTGGTCAGGATTTGTGGAAACCCTTGGCACCGGCTGGCGAGGCACAGGACGTCTGGCCACAGACTGAGTCTCTGCGATAGGGAAAGGTAAAGGTATAATCCCACCGACAAAAATATGCGCGACTACGTCAACAAACAGACAGACAGACAGACAGATATGTAAAGCGTACAATTGCCGGTTGCTTTTACAATAACTGTAAATACGCGCAGGATACGCAGCACACACGGCGTATGCGCAATTTTTCAAAATTTAAGTCTGCCAACTTAAAGCAAAGTTTGTTTTTTTTTTGTTCAGCGCAACAATTTGCGCATTAAAACATAAGCCCACATAAAACGGGATATCTAAGTATATGTATATATATATGTATATATGGTTGCCCAAGATGCTGACACACGTACTCGCAGCATATTTAAACCCAAATCAAAACGCGTGCATAAAAAGGCCGAGAAGGGTCCCAAAAATGAAAATGAGTCGGCAAAGCGGCAAAAGCCCCAAACAACAAAAAGAAATTACTGACCTTACACAATAAGCAGCGGCTTCAGATTTTATTTGGCAAATATAGGCCTATACATAACCTATATACAAAATAAACATATAAATATATATGTACATATATATATATATGTATACCTATGTATCTGAGCTAAATGCCAACGAGAGTTCGTCCACATTTATATTCATTTAATAAGCTGCCATAAAACTGTAGTAAAATGCTGTAAATGAAATAGTAACACACACACACACATACACACATATATATTTACACACACATATATAGCGCAACAGACAGCGAGACGGCCCATAAAAAGGAGCCGCGTCTTTCGGCAACACCTCCCCCCCGTCCCCTCCCCCTACTCTATCTACTTCAAGCTGCGAAGGAAAAATCAATGTCTGCCGCTTTTTGGGCGATTGGAAAATGTTGCCGGTAGCCTTTTGCCTTTTATGCCACTTTGGCGGCTTATTAGCCAAAAAGAAAACAAAGCAACCAAAAAAAAAAAAAAAGAAAAGGAACTCAATTTATGTGCGTTTGTCCCATTGTCTGTTGTCTGTTGTCTGTTGCCTGTTCTTGGTCTGTCCCTCCGTCTGTCCATCTTTCAGGTTTTGTCTGCCTTTGCGTGTCTGTTGCAGAAGCACAAAGTCGATTTATTGATTGTTAGCCATGCTAAGTGCGTCTAACTTAAGTCTAAAAACCAGGTGATGTCTTCTTCAGTTCATCTTCCACCAAATATTTAGCTAAGGCTCAAATTTAAATGGAACTTGGACCGTAAACTTTATATGAAATTGGCGTAGAATTGAAACGAGAGTGGAATTCAGAGAACGGGGAACACATTTCTATATACTGATAATTATTGTGATTGATAAATATATTGATTGAATTTTATATTCATAATTTATAATAAATGACAAAATTTGTAACTTTCATTTTTTTTGTCTAAGAAATATATATTTTTACAAGGCAAAACTGAGTGCTAAATGAAAATGATGCGATTTATGGATTTCCTTAATATATACAGAACAATTAATATTAAATTTCATATCATAATCAAATTTCGTATATAGTTTCAGCTGAACTGATTTCTTATTTAAATTATGTATAAATATATATCGACCCATTCGATACTGAATACATTTTACATAGCTAATCAGCTGAAAATATATATTTTCATACTTAATTTAAAATTCAACATTGCGTTTGATGTCAGAACATAAAATTTGTACGAATTCAAGTAATATGTCAATGCTAAATTCAATTTTCAGGGATAATAATATAGAGATTGTTTCACTTACCATCGCAGGATAATGTGACATCGGCTAACAGATCTGATTTGAAAAGATTGGAGAACGTTATTGCCAAGTTGGACGAGTAACTGTTCCATTTGAGGCAAAACTGCTGTTGTGGATCCATTTTGTTGCTTGTTTATCTTCTTTGTTGTTGTCCTTCTTGTTCTTTTTGTTGTTGTTGTTGCTGTTGTGTGGCGCTCGCTCGTTGGTTGGTCAAAGGATCGGGCCAGGGCCAATGGAAGCAGTGGCTGCTGCTGCTGCTGCCCACAATTTGCGGACTGTTTGATTGGTTGTTGTTGTTGTTGTTGTTGTTCTTGTTGTGTTGCGTGAATTGTTTGTTGTTAATTTTAAGTTTGTTTTCAATGTTGCCAAAATGGAATTTCGTCGAATTGTTTAGCCGGCTTTGCATAAAAGCAATTTGGCCGCTATTAATTCTTAGCCAAAGGGAATTTTGCAATTGTTTGTTGCGTTTGTTGTTGAGCGTCGACAATGACTTGCGCATGCAATTATTTATTTATTTATTATTGTTATTATTATTATTATTGTTGTGGTTGCAATTTGTTTCGTATGATTTAGCTGCAACGTCGTTTTATTTATTTATTTATTTATTTATTTGTTTGTTTTGGTTTTGGTTTCGCTTCGTTTACAGAGAGTGAGAGAGAGCAGTTGAATTTCAGGACGCGCACTCCGAACACGACAAATGCTGCAACGAGAATGACGAGAGAGAAATTGTTTTGGATTTTGATTAGTTAAGATGTTGATGCGTTGTTGTTCACATAACTCAATATCGAAGACAAATTCAGCGCCTGCTTAGCTTTGCACTTTCTCAGCTTCAAATCCGAATGTAAAATGCAATAACAACACACATAAAGCTCATAAATAGAAATAAAGCTCGCTCTCACACAGCCTCACACGCACACACACGCACTTACACACACATGCACACTCTCTCTGTGTTTGTGTCTCGCTCGCTCAGGCTTCGTGCTTCGTCAAGTTCTGAGAAAAAGTTTAGAAGCCTCAAATTTCAAAGTCGCAAGGCGAAATCGAACGAAATGCATTTGTGTGCGTAATTCTATATTGAAGGGCACGATGACTGCGACTGCGACTGCGACTGCGGTGGCGACTGCGGCTGTTACTGCGACTGACTGCGACTGCAGCAGTATTTCCGTTGGCCAGCAGCCAATTTATTAGAAATTAATCGAGCATTTAGTGTGGAGCACCCCAAAAAGATATACGATTTAATTCGTGGAATTAGGCGCGCTCAAAAATGCCGCCGCCAAGCGATGCAACCAAAACTTTTTCCCTTTTCTTTTTCAGGTTTGTTTTTTTCTTTTTTTCTTTTTCTTCGCTGCGCCTCGTCTACGGTTTCCCTTTCCTTTGCGTGTCTCAAAACCTTGAACGCTGGCCAAAATTCACAATTCCTGGAAACTGCAGGTGACGGCCACTATGGAAGTCAATGTGGATGTTGCCGCTGTTGCCGCTGTTGCGGCTGCGCCGTTGCCGTTGCATGGGATGCGCTTTTTTTCCTCGAATTTGTTTAATCGTTAGAAAAATGCGACCGCGCCACTTTTTTCCTTTTTTGTTTTCTGCTCTCTTTTGCCTGTGTCTGCCTGCACCCAAAACCCTGCAACGTACCGCGCCGCCCCGCCCCGCCCCGCCCCGCACCGCTTGCTGCGCTGTTATGTGGAAGCCAGAACCTTCTTCGCCTTCAGGCCATATTGCTCTCTATATATGTGTGTGTGTGTGTGTGTGTGTGTTTCTTTCAAAATCAACGGTTTCGGTCGCCTCGCTGAATGATTTGGCCCCAAAAAGATATCGGTAAAAAGCTATTAACAAATTCCTGGGAAGTTTGCAGTTGTGTTCTTTTGCTTCTTTTTCAGGTTCGGTTAACTGAAGCAGCAGCAGCAGCAGCAGCAGCGCCAATTTTGGCTCGAGTGTTAGCGGATATTTTGCGAGTGAGTGTTCAAAGTTGTTTTGGCCACAACACAAATTGGTCAGTGTTTCGAATTGCTGCATTGGACATTTGACAGCTGCTGGACGAGCTTTGTGCTTGTTCAATAAACTAGCTTAATTGAAGGACTATAAACTCAAACCCAGCTGCAAATATTTTAGAAAATTTACTCTCAAATATGAATACACAAATTGTTTTCATCACTGATCTAGATCAATCCACATTAACAGATTGAATGCGAAGAAACTAGTTTATTAAACTTTCTAATCAATTTTTTAGACTTTTTACTGTTTTTCAATCTGCATTTTTACTGGAGAATAAACCTTTTCCGTCATTCACCTTACAGCTGAAAAGCATATCCTCAAAAATCCCTATGTAAGACTTTGCATGCGACTGTACTTCTTGACGAGCAAACAACAACAACAACAATAACAACAAAACAGCCAAAAATTTACGCAGCTGCATATGAAATGCTTCTCTTCTTTTACTTCAAATGCTTTTCAATTACACAACAAACAACAATGTGATAAAAAAAAAAAAAAAACCAAATGAAAAAATAGAGCAAATTCCGTAGGATCAGTGAGTGCTCCTGATTCTGTTTAGCTTTCAATTCTCAGCTCAGTTGTTTGCCGAACCAAATGACGACACCTGAAGGCAGTTGGGACTTGAAATACATTTTTTTCTTTTAGTTTTTTTCTTTTTACCTTTATCGAGTCGAAGGCAAAATAGCTCTCAGGTATCTGTTGAGCTATCTGTTTTGAGGCCATGTGCGAAACATACAAGCAAAATAACAACGCGTAAATCCTTTTCACACAACACACACACACACACGCACACACACACACACACACACACACACACACACAACACACACACACAGATGTTAATACACAACGTGTGTTCCTGGAAGACGCACACACAAAGAAGCTGAGCAGCTTTTTTTCTCGCATTATTTTATTTGAATTGCTGTTGTTGTTGTTGTTGTCTTATGGCTTCTGACTGGACTGGAACAGGAAGGGATTCGCATTGCGTTTTGGGGGTTGTTCTCGCTCTCTCCCTCTCTCTCTCTCTCTCTCTCTTTGGGCTCTGACAAACGCACTTTTCTAACAACAATGGGAATCGTCATAGAACATTGAAAACAAAACTCCAAATCAAATTACGCAATAGCCTCGAAAAATCAGCAGAATAAATAAACGCTGCATTTGCAATACAAAAAAAAAATTAAAAGAAGAAAAAGAAAAAGACAAAAAATCTAAATTTTATCGATAAATAAAATTTAAAATTTAATTGCTATATTTTTCTGGTATTTCAACTAATTGACCTTGTGCACTACTTTGATATTGCCATAAGAATACAAAATAAATGAATCACACGATTCACATTTTCAAAAGTTGCAGTTCGTAAATTGAAGCGAGTTATTATTGTTATTTTTTTATATTATTTTTTGTATTTTTTGTACTTTTTTGTCTGCTTGTATTGCTCCTCTCTTCTGCTGCCGCTCGCACGCGCTTCCTCTCTCTCTCGCTCTTAGCACATTTGTTTGTTATTGTTGCCATATTCGCTTGATTCGATTGTGAATGTGAATTAATTCAAACATATGACGCACTTTATTATGAAATACCAGATTTTGGTATTTGTATTGGTTCTGCTCCATCTTCAGCTTTATCTCTTCTCAATCAACAAAGTGCAATTTCGACTGTTTTTCAGTGTTTTGTTTTTTTTTTGCTTCTCTTTTTCTTCTTATTTGAATACCAGTTTCTCGCTCATTCATGTTTTGAAGTACTTCTTATTTCTAGCTTCTCTGAATTCGTGCAGTTTTGTCTTTAAGCTACATGAATATTAACTTTCTAATTGTCTGGCAACTACTCAAAACACGCATTATATTTGTACGTCAGCAGCAACAGACCCTAGATGAACAAGGACCCCAAATATACAAACTAATATTATCTAAAACCTTTCCACATTCTTCTTAAAGTTGAAAACTTGAACTGTAACTGGGATTTCACTTAGGAACTTCAGCTGACTATTGTTGAAGTGGCAGCCAAGGAATATGAGATTATTATATTGTATTTATATATATATTTATATCTATCTATCTATAATAATAATGATAAATCAGTTTCATAATAATCTCTGCTAAAAACTACTAAGTTAAGTCTGCTAAAAACTATTGTATGCATTTTGTTAAAGTCAAACTATAACTACAATTATCTGCAGCTAAATGGGAGCAGTAAATTATCAACTTCTATTCAACATTATTATTTTTTTAAAGCTGCAGTTTAAATGGGGATTTTGGGTTAAGTTTTCCGAGTATCAGCACAAATATTATAGACAAGCCTCCCAAGAAATGGGTGTGCAATTGCAGAATCTCTGAGAAAGCGCTTTGCTTTGAACTTATTGCTATGGCGGGGGAGACAGGGTGGTCTGGGTGAATAATAATAATAATGTTGAATTGCCAACCAGGTAGCAACTGTCAGTGGCAACTGTGGTCGACACCCAAAGGCAAGTTGTGGCACAGCAAGTGCTGTACTTGACAAGACGCAACTTGAAACGTGAAATTGTGGCTCGGTAAAGGTCATGTGGGTGGCATGTAAGCGCAGGTATTACACATGTTCGCATACCACAAGCAGCAGCAGCAGCAGCAGCAGCAGCAGCAGCAGCAGCAGTAGCAGTAACAGTTGCAGTTGCAGCATACTTGTGTGTGCTCAAAAATAATTTAAGAATATCGCAAAAATAAATGTGGCATAAGCATTGCAACAAAGAGTTCAGTTGAGGCAAACCGTTTTGTGGCAAGGCATGCCGCTGTGCTTTGTGGCGCCCCATGGTGCACACATCAAAGCCTAGTGTCTATCTTGAGCCGTGTGGCATATTGCATAAAACGAGACACGGATTATGGAGATAATAACAGAGACTCTGAGTTATGACATGCCTCCAAAATCGCAGTGGGTGTGTTCTGCCCTCCTGCTTGCCGGCTAAATATGGGCGTGTATCATCTGGTAAACAGTAACGGTTCTGTTCGATATCATAACCCACAAATAGAGACTGGATTCGGTGTTCAAGTGTGTGCGGTAACAATTGAGTAATTCAAGGTTGCTGCAACTGACAGGCATGCAAAACTCACAGATATTCCACATGTGTGGCAACGACATCTGTCAGAGGTTATGTCAGCATAGCTGATGGCCAAATTTTGACAATGGCTGACATAACAGTTTAAATGTCACAGAATTGACTCAGCTCAATTCTGGCTCTTTAGTATTTAATCCTGTTTCTCCTGTTTATTGCACAAAATGAGCACTTTCGAGTTAGTAAAATGGCACATATAAAAATGAAATTAAATTATT